CTTTCCCTTTACCTCCCTGGTTCCTTTTCATTACTCTGGCTCCTGCAGTTCCATCTGGGTACATAGTCACATATGAATCTTCATCCTCCTTTCAAAGTGCTTCCCCACAAGGGGCTTCCCAAATATACCCCCTATTCCCCATATCAGTCACATGTTCAGCCCAAACCTATTGTGTATTTGGGCAGGTTTTTTTTCACTATTCCTTTATTTAAACATTCCACCTTTAAATGTTTTCCAAATTATTCTTCGAAAAACAAACCAATGAAAACTTTCCAAATTCTCAGATATTCCAGTGCAATTGTATGTAAATAATAATTATAAATAACATTTTTAAACTATGAATCAAATGTTACAAATCAGTTATAACTTAGCAAAAGAGAAGCAATCTTCAATTTGCTTTTTCTAGAGAATAATGGGGAGAAAATAAGGGGGTAGGGATCCAGAAAGGAAACAGGAAGGGAGAAAGGAAAAGGGAGAAAGATTATTTCAGCTTTACTCACCAGAGAATGGGGAAGGTGATTTTAACAAAGAGGAGACACAGACTTCTGTGAGAACTTTAAGCTGGGATCAGCTGGCTTTAAGTACTTCAATGAAGAAATTTTCCATCACAAAACAGAACATCTATTTATTTACTAGACAGTATTAACATAATGTAGAAGGGGCTTGAGAGATGGCTCAGCAGTTAAGAGCCTTCTTTGCAGAGGACCCAAATTCACTTCCCAGCATCACATTTGGCAGTTCACAACCCCTGGAACTCCAGCTCTGGGGAATCTGATGTATCTGGTCTGCACCTACACTTGTGCGCACATATGCACACACGCGCGCGCACGCACACACACACACACACAAAAAAAATTAAAAATAAATGTATCTTTTTAATAAAGAGATGATGTAGAAGACCTTTGTCATTTTCAGAAGTCTTGCTCAGGCTTGGGGAGTGCCAGGGTCAGATCAGAATCCCAGAACTGTTAAAAATGTCATAATTTACTGAAGTTTCTCCAGTAGGCAGGACACATGCGAAGAGCCCTGAACTCTAGCACCCAGAAGGCAGTGTGCAAAGAGGCAGGAACTGTGAAGTCCCACTGGAGAAAGACTGAGTCAAGGAAACTCAGTTAACACAACAATGGGACAATCTGCAGATCTGACTCTGAGATGCCAGCAGCAGTTTCCTCACCAAGCACTTTCTGTGGAACCAGCTCCAGCACGCATTTTTCTGGTTGTATAGCACCCCCAGGTGACTTTAGAGCTTTCAAGGCATTTTATTGATTCTGTTATTTTCCCAATATAGTAGTCCTCCTTATCTGCAGAGGATGTATTCCACAACCTCCAGTAAATGTGTGAAGCCATCCATACCAAACTAGATTCATACCAGATATGTATCTATGATCAATTTTAATAAGTTAGGCACAGAAAGATATTAACAATAATAAAATAGGACAAATATCAAAAATGCTAAAAATGCCTTATAACTGTTACATGGCAAATATATATTCTGTACAAAAATAATTTATTGTACAGTGTTTACCCTTCTTGTTGACTATAGGTAATTGAAATCCCAGAATATAAAGTAGTAGTTAAGGAGAACTACTGTACTGCTCCATTCTACCTAGTTGTGTCATTGACAGAATCCATTAACCTAGAGTAAGAATTTCAAACATATGTATGGATACATATTCATATGTGTGTACATTACTTCTGATTTAAGCACAAAAGAAATTTGATTAAAGAATACAGTAGTCTTCCTTCATTTGGCTTAACTTTCTGCAATTTTGCCTAACTTTGGTAAACCAAGTCTGTAAATACTAAATAGAACATTCCAGAAATAACTAATTAATTCATTATAAATGGCACACTGCATTAGTTAATTTTCTTGTCACTGTAATCAAATGCCTGACAAAGAATAGCTTAAGACCCCACCTCTCACTTCCCAAAATAGTGCAGTCAGCTGGAGCCCATGTGTTTTACATGAGCCTGTGTTACATCCAAACCACGACATTTCAGCCCTGGTGCCTACTGGCTCATGGCCATAGCCTAATGCAAAATACATTCAATTCAACTTCAAAAGTTACTATAATCATAATAGTTTCAACACTGCTCAAAAGCCTAAACTCTCTTCCAAGACTCAAGGCAATCTCTTAACTCCTAGCCCCAGTTTAAAAATATTTTTAACGTTCAATACTTCCAGTATACAATAGCACAGAATAAATATCCCCATTCCAGAAGACAGGAGTTGAGGGGAATTGCAAGTAAAGATCAGAGCAAAGCAAGACTAAAACTCAGCAGGGCAGCTGCAGCTCCATGTTCAGCATCTGGGGATCATTAGACTATAATCTGGGCTCTAATGGAGTAGGGTAGCCCCACCCCTCCAGCTCTGTTGTCTCTGGCACATGTAACTTCTCACTTGGGCTCTCTCCACTCAATGCTTGCAGCCTTCTTCAACAGATACCACATGCCTCTGGCATCTCCAATATCCTGCAGTCTCTATTGCAACTTAAGGTTCCACCTTCATAGTTTCACACAGCCCACTCAGGGGCTAAAAGCGGGGAATCTGACCCTGCTACAAACTATCTGGCTTCAGAGACTTTCTGGAATCTTGGCACAAGCCTCCATGACCCCTTGATGCAAAAACACAGATGCTGCCCTTGTAAAGGACATCATCCTTGCCATATATTCTATCTAATACCTTGCCTAAGATGCTAATGTCCCAGCATGTAGTATCCCCAAGGTAGGATGAGACAGTAGGATTAGCTTTGTATGTTACCACCTTATACCCTATCTAGTTATTGCAATAAATTGCTAAACTCAAAGTCCCCTCTATTCTAAATTCAGAGACCTCTCCTCCACTAAAGTATATAAAAGTAAGGTATTTCCTTGAGTGTGGACAGTGTTAATAAGGATATTTCCCCTGAAATCTGACACAGCACATCTCTCTATTGAACTCAAAAGAATCTTTATCATTTAAAACACAATGTTGAAACCCCTGGTACTTGAAAGGTAAGATGACATTGATTTCCTTGTGGGAGTCTCTTTCTACCTAGCCACATAGCATCCCCTTACTCCTGACCAGGCTATTGCTCTATTACTTGGTTCATGCCCTACTGCTAGGGTCCTGGTGGCCCTGTGGGCTTTTTTCTTACTTCTGAGATTCTGGTGATTCCCCTCCTCTTTCCTGGGTTCTTACTCCACATATTCTGGCCCCCTCCTTTTTGGTCTCCTGGCCTTACTGTTTCTCTTTAGTTCCCTTGGTAAGTCTCTGGGTTCTCTGAGGTCCCTGTTCAAAGTGTATTATGTTAAAATTCCCAACAATGGGTCAGGGGGTCCCCACTGGGCTTGGATCTGAGTCTATTACCTTTATCCACTGATTTTAAGATGCTTGGATCTCATCTGTGATCTGTGTTGTAGTGGTAGCCACATTTCCAGAATGGTGAAGTGAGGCTCATGGAGACATTTGTCTGCTTGGTCTCCCTTTGTTCCACCTTGATTTACCAAATACTCCTTCCCCAATGGGAGCCAGTCAATCCCATCCCATACTCCTCAAGGATTTTCCCTTTGGCTGTCTGATTATGATCTTAAACTTACCTATCCAGAGGTTGAGATGAAATGAAAAAAATGATACTCTTTGATAATACTATTTAGCCACAGCACCAACTTGATAATAACCTATGGCCCAGGAACAGTACTTTTGATTTTTTTCATATAGCAATGTGAGAAATGGTCTGGACTCCCTTATATATGACCTTTTTTTCTACCAGCAGAACTGTCCCTCTTTCTCCAGGGTACTGTCTCCCTCCCAGCTCTTCCATGTTCTGCCAAAGCAGCAACAGAGATGCAAAATAGCCACAATTTCCCATCTTTTCTTGTTCTTTCATGAACTCCTGCTGGAGAGGAAAAGAAACATACCCATGCATTTAATGTGACTTTTGTGTATGTCTAATATTGTTTTACCATTCAATGATTGATTTTATACTTTGGGATATAGTGCTCCCCTTATAGTGGTTTTACAAATGCTAACTAAAATGGAGAGCACAAAGACTTCAAAGTTCTCTTGAGAGGTGAATACCACAGTTACTAGTGGAACATCTATTTGCACCCACCTTGCTTGCTAAGGTGCCTGCAAAAAAATTCTGTTGTTAAAGAATGTCTTAACTCCTAGTTATGCAATGTGGGGGCCTTTTAGATAGACCCACTGAAGGGATACTCCAGTTGCCTCACTCTGCATCCCTGTTCAGCATGGAAGAAGCCAGAGCCATCTGGTCTTGATTCCCTATCAACAATTTGGGTAACCTCTTCAGAGGATGATGTGATAAGAATAGGAGGTAGGAATTGGCTAAGTAGGTAGGGTAAAAAGAGCCCTAAGAAAAGTAGCCAGTTTCTTGGCTAAAAGTCAAAGTGTCCTTGGGCCTTTTAGCAACATACTCTGTTCCAAAGGCCAAAAATGTAAAAAGTATTTGGGAGCGCTTATCTATTCACTAAAAGATTTTAGGGTTACCTCTTCAGAAGATGAATGTTAGAGAAGCAAAATGTTCCATAAAAAATAATAAATAAAATAAAATAATCTTCACTCACCCAGGGCTCACTAGTGCAAAGTTCAGAATATCTTCTTAATTGCGCTAATCACAAGTACAGCCTCATCCACCCTCTCTGCCCTGTCTGCAACTTTAACTAGGTTCCTACTCCTTTTCTTGCCAGCAGGTACATGCTTTGTTTCTTCCTGCTCCACTTTCTCCTCTCACTGTAAGTCTGAGACATGTGATTAGTAGTAATCATTCCACAGCCTGAATGTGACACTGTCTTGAAATTCCTTTTGCCAGACAACTTAGTCCATTTCTGATGAATCCACTCTCAAATTTTGGGGGGACAGGTAGAATGCAGCATGGTTCTTCACACAACTATGGCATGAACAGCCTCTAGCCCAACTCCTGATAGTGAAGAGGAAAAGAAATGCACACCCTTCCATTTAATGTTACTTTCATACACATCTAATACTGTTTTTTTGGTTTTCATGTTCCTTAACTCCATAAAGCAACAGCAATCTGGTACAAGTCAGCTGTGCAACAAAGAGTCAGGAATTCTTTTGCACTATGGTGTAACCAAGAATGGGGAAAATTCCCATTCACAGGTTCTGATATTGTTTTAATAACTATTTTATAACTTAGAACACAGCAGTGATTTTCATAGCAGATGTATGCTAAGAGTTGTACTAAAAGAGGAAATGAAACTAAAGCTGAGGCAAAATGAAGACCACAAAGGCTATCCTGAAAAATAGTTACTGCAATTATCTGATAAGACATTGCCTGCAGCTGCTGTCTGCTAAGAGGCTTGCAAAAATCCTGTTTGTTAAACAGTGTTTAACCTCTGCCCTCAATATCTGCTTCTCTAGACATGCTTGTCTGCTTAACCACAGGAGGAACTTCCCCTTGGTGGTCCTGAGTCATGCAGACCATCTGTGGCTAATGGTCATATAAGCTGCAATTTGAGTCCACCAGTGCTGTAGCAGTTGAGAAATAATGGGGGAAACATAAAAACTGTAAGGAACTGTGGCTTGGGGCCCAGAACTTCAGAGCAGTAGCCCATCTGGATCTGCAGGCACAAATAAAACTGAGTCCTCCAACTCCGAGTGGTACTTGGTTCCTTACTAAACATAATTTTCTCCAATAATAGAGTCCTGTTCCTCCTCTGAAAACTTGTTAACAGTCTACACTATCTGCAAGTCTATCCACACTCTGGTCTTCGTTACTGCCCCCAGAATATCTCATTAAGCTCTGTTTACAGAATTGTGGGACTTCTCTGGCCCACTGCTCCAAATTCTTCCACATTCTTCCTGCAAACTAGCTCAAAGGCTATGGACCGCATGGTCAAGTTTCCCATAGCAACAGCTCCACTTCTTGGTAATAATTTTCTGCATTGGTTACTTTTTTTGTGACTGTTACCAAATATCTGACAAGACACATCTTAAGGGAAGAAGGGCTTGCAGTTTTAAGGGTACAGCTCACCATGGCAGGAAAGGAATGGTGGTGGGAGTGGCTCATGTCTGTGGCAGTGGAAATATGAGGCTGCATGCTAACATCTTGATGAACCAGGAAGCAAAGATGGAGCAGGAAACAGGACCAAACTATAAACCTCAAGGCCCACCTCCTAGAGATCTTCTCCCAGCTGGACCCCACCTCCCAAAGGCTTCATGTCCCTCATCCTTCCTAGAACATAATCACTTTCATCAAGTGTAAAATGCTGTCTACTCTATTCTCTCATTCGTTCCTTAGTAACCTTCTCAGCTATCAGATCAACTGTCGTGGTTATCACAGCGCTTGTATATAACCCTTATATTATGCGCTTAGCCCCAGAGCATGAGTATACTATGCTAGTTTAATTGTTCTATTGATACTTTATTATAAGTTATTATTGCCTAGTATGTAGAAACTATAAATTAAACTTTCTCACTGGTACTTATACATAGGAAACCACATAGTATAAACAGGGCTCAGTATCATCCATAGTTTCAGGCCTCCATTGAGGGTTCTTGGAAAATAACCTCTATGGATAAGGGGTGCACTGCCATGATCTTATTTAGATCATTCATTTAGAGATGAGCAAACAATACTCAAGAGAGTAGAGGGCTCATTATGAGCAGAGCAGGGACGACAGTGGCTTTCAGTGCAATGCCCTTTCTCACTTGCTACTTACCTTGATTCTTTTGAGTGCTATTTCTATTATAGATTGATTATATTTTTGCTTTTGTTTTAAGAAAAGATTATTCTGGATTATATTTGATTATTTGAGAACATCATAATTTCTTAGTACTGTAATAGACAGACCGTGATGAAGAATTTAGGGGGAGGCAGAATTAACTAAGAAAAACAACTCAAAAGACTAGTAAGAAAAGATATAACCTGTTTATGCTAAAACACTCCCCAAAGGAAATGTACTTAAAGTAACATCTTTTCGAATAGCACTGCCTAGTGGGATTTGCCTCTCAGGACTCAGGAATTTTAAGAGGCCAATTCACAGATTATTTATATATGGTTGCTAGACTATTTCTTTAGACATGGACTCTACAAAGAAAAGGATCTGTTTAAAAGATCTCACAGTTTTCAGTGAGAACTATATATTACAGAATTAGATAGAGTAGCACATAGTAAATTTTTTTCATTGTGCTCCAAGCTGCAACTTCTGGTTCTTTCATGGTTTCCAAGTGCTTGTAGTTGAGCTCTGCCCTAGATCAGTTTGAAGGTGATTTCTTCTTGAATTGTCTGTGTTGTTAATGGTCTCCTATGTGTGTACACATTTGCTACCCTGGCTTCATGCTGTCCTCATATATCAAATACATAATTTTTTCTTTGTAAAATAAACTTTCCTGATCTATATCCAACAATTGCTGAAACTCTGTAGGGATTCCTCAGTGTTTTTACTTATCTTTAGCACACTCTGTAAAATGCCCGGTACTAATACACTGCCTGTCTTAGAACAGCTTCACTAATGTAAACATTTTGTGTTCTAACTGAGCTATTTCTTAAATTTTATAAACTTCATTTTCAGGCATGATGCAGGAATAGGAAGTCTTTCAAAGTCATTCTTTGACAAGTTATCTACCTCTCTGGGATCCAAGTTGAAATCTGATTCACCACTAAAGGAAAATGGGGGTTCCATAAAGGTGTTCTTCATCCCACTACAGTGTGTATGTTTGTGTCTACACAGATACAGAGAGACATACACAGACACACAGACACACAGTCATACAGACACACACACATACACACCAGCATACATAACCAGCATACATAAGTGGGTTACAGATTCAAAGTAGGGACCCTAATGGATTACTGGATTGTCATTTCTCCTATCCACATGCTCCCTTTAAGTTCCAGCTGTCCTTTAAAAGAAAAGATTCCATTTTATCTTAAGAAATTCAATTTTAATGGTTCTCACTTCTCTTCTAACTTGAAGCTGAACTCATGGCTCATTTCTACCGCCTTTTTAAATTATTTCAAATTGTCAATAATATTGTAGAGGATATGTGGTATGGATTATCAAAGCTGTAAATAATCTCAAAAAAACTACCATACCTTTCATTTTATAATACATAATTGCTCCTGAACCAAATTACAGTATTTATGATATATAGCTTCAGCAAGTACACACATTTCTTTACATCCCTTGAGCCCAAACACTAAATGCAGAGAACTGGGTGTAAGCCAGAATCATGCTGACCCCTAAAAGAAAGCCACACTGTAAATTGAAACCACTAACAATAACCTCCTGAATGTTAATCCCCACAGGGACCAAATCTGAGGCAACATTTGTCCCAGTCTGTAATACAGCATGTCTGGTGTCTTCTACTTCAGTTTAAATGATTTTAGCTAACCTTGTTTTTGGTGTAGTACTGAAGGTAGATAGACAGATGATTGATAGATGGTGATAGATAGATGACAGATAGATGATAGATAGATATAGATAGATATAGATAGATGATAGATAGATAGATAGATAGATAGATAGATAGATAGATAGATACCTAAACTTCTTTTTATAACATATTTAAAGCTTTCAAAGTAGATAACCAAGGCCTAGAAATTCTATGAGTTTAGCAATGGCAATATTTACTCTCTTGAACAGCTCAATTTCTAAGAGACCAAATGTTTAGAGTCTGGATGGTATGGGGGACACAGGAAGGCAAAATCTTGTTCACAGCGGGACCCCAGAAAACATCAAAACAACTCTTCAGCTGTTTGCTCAGGTTTGTACCAACTTCTTGATGAATGAGGTTTTCCCAGGGCTTTTACATGGCACTGTTACTTCACTGGGGCTCACTGTGTGCTTTAAACAGATGAAAACAAAGAAAGTCAGCCATATAATTCAGGCTCTGACTGCTCTTCCACATGTCAGTAGTAAAAAGCACAGCTCTCCTTTGAGCAGCTCTGAGTGGCTGCCTGATTGAATCTGGTGAAGGCTGATAAATTTTGGAATGCTTTTTCAACACAAGAATAGACTCTAGATAGATAGGGCTGTAGCACTATGTAACTTACAGGAGAACCCTGGAAATCAGTGCATCTCAGCACTGCATGTGAAGAGGGGAAAAGCTAAAGGCCATCTCCATATCCTCCCACATAATCACCATGTGAGCTGGTCCACATGTTTTCAAGTGCTAACCACAGTCATAGTACAAAAGTAACAGATTATCATTTTAAAAAATACTCTGAAGACTAAGCTCTTTTAAAAGATAAATTGAGGCAAGAATCGCATTCTATTGCTAAAGGAAAGAAAGGTTCTACTTCACTATTTAAATTGTGTGAGTGTGTATGTATGTATGTGTACATGTGAATCTAAGTGCTTATGCGCACATGCATGTGGAGGTCATAGTCAATGTGAGGTGTCTTAGTCACGCTCCATCTTTTTTAAATTTATTTTTATTTTATGTGTATGAGTGTTTGCCTACATGTATGTAAGTGTACTTGTGCATGCAATGCCCATGGAGGCTAGAAGGAGGAATTGGTTCCCCCAAAACTGGAGTTAAAGAAAGCTGTTAGCTGCTGTTTGGGTGCTAGGAATCAAACTCAGTTACAAGACAAGAGAAGCCAGTCTTTTTTGTTAAGCCATCTCTCCAGCCCATCTACCTTATTTTGGGGAAAAGGGTCTCTCACTGAATCTGGAGCTCATCAACTGCCTAGACTGGCTGGCCAGTGAATTCCAGGCATCCACCTTTCTCAAACCCCCAATGCTGGGGTTACAGATACATGCAACAGTGCCTGACCATTTGCACAGGTGCCGAGGATCCAAACTCAGATCTTCATGTTTGTGCAGTAAGCATTTTACCATCTATACTATCTCCTAAGCTTCTCCACTTATATTAATGTTGCAACTTTTGCCAGGACAAGCTGACAAAGGACAGTTTATGACCCATGCCTTTGGAGCCCAAATAAAAAATTCAGTCATAGGAGAGGGAGTGACAAAGGAAGTGGACAGAAAACAGGATTCAACCTTAGGGTACAGTTTGGTGAGGGGCTGTGCGGAAAAAGAGCCTGGTTGAAACCTCATCTCCATGAGTCTCCTTAGTTTCAAATGCATCACCCCCTGGTGCTTCAGTCACTTCCCTTGAGGGTAATTTTTGCTAACTTTTGGGAAGAGTTAGTGTAAATGGCTT